CTACATTGAGTACGTCTATCCGTACATGCCGCTCATCGACTTGCACCACTTCTTGAGCATTGTCGATCGCAGGGATGGCGTCAACGGCCAGACGAGCTTGCTGCTCTACCAGAGCATCATGTTTTCGGCGACGGCCTTTGTCGACATGAAGCATTTGAGGGAGGCGGGCTTTTCGTCAAGAAAGGCTGCTAGAAAGGCGTTTTTCCAAAAGACAAGGGTATGTTGTCTCTGTCTCTTTCTTTTTTTCTTTTCTTCTGTGAATTTTCCTCCCTTGAACAACAGATTCGTGACACGACGAGTATCGCATGTGCTGACCGACATTGTGCTAGCTCCTCTACGACTTTGACTATGAACAAGACCGCCTCGTGCTCGTCCAGTCTCTGATGCAAATGACATACTGGTACGAGACCCCCGACGACCAAAAGGACACCTGGCACTGGATGGGCGTTGCCATTTCCCTCGCCCACACCATTGGCCTGCACCGCAACCCCGGGTCAACGTCCATGTCCACGTCCAAGCAGCGCCTCTGGAAACGCATATGGTGGTCGTGCTTCATGCGAGATCGCCTCATTGCCCTCGGCATGCGCCGCCCGACCCGCATCAAGGACGAGGACTTTGACGTCCCCATGCTCGTGGAGAGCGATTTCGACATGCGGCCCCTCGCCGAGGGCGTCAGCGTCGTGCCCGCCGAATGCACCCTCATGCGAGACGTGGCCATGCAGCGCCAGCTGGCCGCCATGTGCATCTCCAAGGCGAAGCTGTGTCTCTGCATCAGCCACATGCTCAAGACGCAGTACTCGGTGCTCATCCGTGACAAGGTCAAGCCCGAGAACACGACAAACAGCACCATGATGCTGTTCCCCAACAAACAGATGGACAACGTGGACGGCGTCAACACCGTCGACCTCGAACTCAGCGCCTGGGCCGCCTCGCTCCCGGATGTCTGCCAGTACCGGCCCCTGAACCCCCTCGACGTCAAGGACGGCAGGTCGACCGTTGCCGTCCAGCGAACCCTCCTGCACATGGTCTACCACACCACCGTCTCGGCCCTCCACCGCCCCCAGTTCCTGCCCTCGTCGCCCACCCAGGCGCCCACCACGTCTCGCCAGGTCCAGGAAATGTCCCGCCTGCGCGTCCGTGACGCCGCCGCCCAAATCACCCGCATGGCCGCCGAGCTGCAGTACCTCCGGCTGGAGAAGTTCCTCCCCACGACGGGCGTCACCGTCATCCTCCCCGCCATGATCATCCACCTCCTCGAGATGAAGTCGCCCTCCCCGCAGGCCCGGGACCGCGCCACCCGGGGCTTCCGCCAGTGCATGCGCGTCATGGAGAAGCTGCGCGAGATTTACGCGGCCGCCGACTACGCAACGGGCTTCCTCGACGCCGCCCTCCGCAAGGCCGCCATCGACATCAACGCCAACGCCGGCCACCAGGCCCTCTCGGCCATGAAGACGGATCTGCCCGCCGGGTTCGGCGCCCAGACCACGCCACCCCCGGACAACCTGCCGTACATGACGGCCTCGGAGTCCCTCTTTACCGAGAGGCCCAAGCCCCTCAGGACCATGCCCATGCCGCCCCCGGCCACCGTCAACGCCGCCGCCCTCGAGCTCTCGGCCAACTCCCCGCCCCAGACGGACTTTGACTCGGCGCAGCTCACGCCCAGCGCGAGCGGCCAGTCGGAAGCGCAGCTCGTCGACCTCGACACAATGGACCTCGACTTCATGCAGGGCCACGACGAGTTTGACTGGAACGCCGTCGCCGGCACCGACTTTGACGTCGACCAGTGGCTGCAGTTTCCCGACGTCGGCTCCAATCCCAATCCCAATCCCAACCCCAACCCTATTGGGGCGGACGACTTGGCCGTCGGGCTGTTTGACAATGCCAGCACGGCAAAGTTGATGGAGGAGACGCTGGATCTAACGGCGTTGGATAACGAAGGGGACACGAACATGGGCGTCGAGGCTGTGCAGCTAGAGGCTAGTGTTATGTAATTTTTTTTTTCTTTCTTCTTTCTTCTTATTTTTTTGGGACGGTTCGTTTTGCTTTGGTCATATAGGATGCATTCACGGCGCCAAGTGTACTATCGGTCAAAGGGAATGAGAAATGACTCTTGATGCAATCACTCCGTCTTGTGTCTGCCCGTGACGTTGTGTAGCTCCATCATTTGCCACGGTCTGGAGTTAATGAGTCTGATGACAAGCCGGTCTGCTCAACCGTACAGGGCAGCATGATGAACGTATATACAAGGGAGGTGGACTCTTAAGATGGGATTTAATATGACGTGCTGATGGGAGCAAAGATGGCTCCTTGGGCTGTCTGAAAAGGGAGAGTGAGACTTGCTTGTTGGGCCAGAAGGCTGGTGCTTGTGTGCGGAGTATTCAAGGAGGAGATTGCTAACTTGGGTTTGGACGAACTCTTGAGGTGTAGGAGAGTTGTGTTGTGGGTGTGCCTTTTGTGATTCAAAAGGCAGGCGTGTACTCCGTATTGTTCAGGTTCGGGACTTCGCATGGTTGGGATAGTGCGGGGGTATCTGATGTTGTTGATCTTGTAAATTGTACGCCAAATACCCTGTACATGCCTGGGTACCTACCTAGGTAGGTACCTAGAGGTAGGTATCGCAAATATGTTGCAGGCCTTTTGTACCAACGTATACCCTAGAGGCAGCGAAGGCTCCAACGATGTGTCTTGCGAGTATTAGGGCCAATAAGCAGTCTCGACTAATCGGTACTTTTATTATCGCTTTAATCTTACGGAGTACCAAAAAAGGAGTATCAATAATTCGATTACAGGGTTCTGCCGGGGGGTCCAGGGTCTTGTGAAGAGAGATACCTCTCTGGAGCCTTCGAGGATGAGTGGTGCTGGTTGCTAAGTACTCGGTGTGCTCTTTTTTGGTGATACCGTGTCTAACCTACTGATGTTAGTGTTTGGAACATTCGAGTGCACATTGTGAACCTCAGAGTGCCACGTCCATTACCCGTCTGTTGCAGCAGGACTCAGTTGGTACTTGTAATGGCTCATTCTCGTTCTGCCACAAGTCGACTGATCATTAATTAGTTAGCAGTCATTTAATATCTCTGTAATCACATGGTGCGGCATGTGTCCAAAGCTTCGTTATTGTGTCCCGAGCGTGGTTGAGTTGGCCAGGTTTCCAAGACCGGCTTCCACTTCATTGCATCAAGGCTCCTTGTGACAATCTGCTCCACCGTGTTTGAGCATCTCTCCGGGTTTATGCAGGCTAATGCCCATCAACACCGTTGCGTAGAGCATCATCCGTGTCGTACCAGCGTTAGGGCTCACAGGAATGCGGCAAAGGCGGGGCCCCTACGGAGTACGTACTTTAAAATGCGGCCCACGACAGATGTGTTGTAACTAACTTGTGTCTCAAGACGATTCCACGATGTGCTTCTTGGATGTGTGGCGTAAAACAAAAGGGGGGGCCGCAAGAATTCTAGAGGCTGGAGGAGTTTGAAAACGGCAGCGACGCTCCAATCTCGTCACTACTCCGTATTGATTTTGCCAAACGTCTTTCTTGTTTTTTTTTCCCCCTGCATCCTGCACGTCAATCTTCCATGCATGGAATTATTTTGCCTGCCAAACTCACCCCAATTGTGCGTGTGCGTCTCCGCGACCCGCCTGCGAACCCCTGATAGCCGAGATGGCGTGTTGAACCCCTGAGCCAAGTTACTCCAGATTGAAGACATCAAGTAGGCAGCACAATAAAAAAAAACGACGACGCTAGGTAGCTCTTGGACGGTTGGTCGGACAGCAGGAGGATCTGGGACCCAGGACCCTCTGTATTTCCGTCGATAGCGTCGAATCACTTGCATTGAAGCGTGTGGTTGCGGGCGGATGAGGGAAAATGGATTGAAGGACTGAGGCTTCATAATCGAACCGGAGGGCTTGCTGACCGGTGCGTATGGCTCGAGTGCAATCTACGGAGGAAAGCGCGGATGCAGGCGTCAATTTTCATTTCCGTCAACTGGCCTCTTTCCTTCTTGTCTTCTCGTCTCTCTCGTCTCCTAACATTCTTAACCCTTCGCTCCTTCCTTTCGTCGTTAACAACCCACATTCGCTCAACGTTCCTTTGCTTCTCCTTTTCGACTTATGCTTCGATTTCTCGACTTCGACTCAGCGGCAGTTTGTCCGCATTCACAATCACTCACTTGCTAATCTAATCCGTTCCTTAGTAGCACGCCACCCACACCCTCTTTTTTCACTCTCCCTTGGCTGCTGTTGTTCGTTTTCCTAATCCGTCTCTTTTCTACCAGTTTAGCCTACTTGTCCACCTTCTTCGTCCCATCTCCTCCAACCAGAACTGGACCGAAGGAGCAAGTCGACGAGCGAATCCAAGGCACCACCCAATCATTATCCATCCATCCCCCACCAGACGCGTCTGGCCATTCGCCTCCGGCCTCGTAAGCTTGGCGCCGCCTCATCCGAAGCCCAAAGCTACCCTTATAGCTGAATCGTCAGACGACAACAAAAGACTTTGGGCCTGGCAGCGCAGCGGCCCGATCGTCCTGCACGCACGCGCCTCCCGGCGGCTGTCAAGTTCCCGGCCCAGGTTTACTTGACGACCTGCTTCCCTTCTTACCCTCCCGTCAACCTTCGGGGCTAAGCAGGTGGCCGCCACCTGTCGGCGTTCGACTGGCATTTCTCTTCTGCGTTGCCCTTTTTTGTCTTGTATGCTTTGCGCTGGAGCATTGTACGGAAGCGTGTCTCACATTCTCTTCTGTGCTCCGCCTACTTGTTTCCTGCAAGCTGAACGAGAACACGCCCAGGCAGACGCACCACCTTTTTCATACCACCTGGCTGTGTACTATCAATTTTGCCTTGGCCGTCTTCAAAGAGCACTCGACTATGTGCATCGATACTTCAATTCGCATCAACATTCTCATCTTTCCAGGGTCAAGAACTGACCATGCTGCCATTGCGTCGGTGCTGATTTGTAAAAATCATAGAACCATCGCTGCCATCGACGACATCCTCGACAAGACACAATGACCGACCCGCCGTTCCTCCTGAAGCCTAAGAGGCTCTCCCTCGTTCCGCAGTCGCCCGCCCGACCTCGCACGGGAGATGACATCTTCCCCCATTTGAGCCCAACCACAGCCGTCGAGGCCCTAACTTCAGGCAACGGGGCCCTGCGAGGCTGCCTAGATGGCGCGTCTGCTGCCGAGCGAGACTTTGCTATGCGAGCAGCGGTCGCTTCACAAAGAATATGGGAGTGGATTGACGAGCTTTCCAGCTGGGAGTGGCCTCTCGAGAGCGCCTCTGCTGGGTTTGTGACTCCCAATAACACACTGCCAAGACTGTCATTACAAGCCAACGTGCCAAAGATTGTTGGAAGCGAGTATACTGGCAGCCTACCCGCTCAAGAGGTGGCTCTGTACGAGCGGAGAATTGAAGAAATACATCGAGATATGAATGGCTTGGCACTGGAAGAGATCAAGAGCCAAGTCCTGACGAACCACATCCTGCCCCTTTCGAGACCGAATACACCGCTGTCAATATCAAGCAAGGGAATGTCTCGTACCTCTGCTTATACTAAGATGGAGGATCTCTCCGCAGTTGTCACGACAATTGTCGTCCAGACACTACCAAACATCTCCAGACTCAACCAACTGCTGCGAATATGGAGCAGCCGTCTAGCTGTTCTGCAACGTGTTCCGTCCTTGCTTTACGCGCTTGAGGACGCCGAGGCTGGAGTCCAGGCTGGCTGGACTGCTATTTCCAAGCCACTTAGAAGGTCAATTCAGGTTGATGGCAGAGGGGCTGTTGTCCGGAAACCGACACTGAATCGTAGTGACTTTGAGGTTATGAACAAAGTTCTTATTAAGAAGGTCGCAACTCCTGGCAGAGCATTGGACTACATGCTTGATAATTTGGAGGGAATGGACGACACAATTCCGGACAGCTGGCTGGATCGTATGGAAGCCGTTGAGCGCAGCTACAGCGAGTGGGTGGCTGCCTGCGAGAGAAAGATCCGCGAAACAGAGTGGTCCAGGTCGGCAAAGGGGCAAAAATCTTCCAAGTCACCTTCAGCACAAGCTCCTAGGGATATCATCGACGGCACATCATCTGGGCCTAGCGATCTGCCCACAGATGACTCTGGGATCGCCATCATGTTAACGGTTTCTCCGAAGCCTGGTAGTACATCCGCCATCCCTGTTTCATCAGGTGTCAAGGATGATAATGTACCCCAGATATCGGCCAGTGATGGTCTATCTAGCCGTGATGCAAGAGAACCACAGTCCATTGAAGATAACGGCCCGAGAACTCCATCTGACGAAGGATCCTTTGATTCCGAACTTGCGCTAGAATCTTCCGCTCAGGCCAACCAATCAATATTTGTTGGTGACAATGACTCGCCAACAGAGCACGATATGTCAGGCATTACCAGGTCCATGTCGCCGGTGGACGAAGAAGAGGAAGGAGGAGATGAAGCGGATCTACCTCGGCTTCGCAAAAGTACCACACATCATAGCAGCTCCCCCGAAAGCTTTCTGATACATGGAGATGGAGACACAAGCCGGTTTGATCTGACCAGTGATTTGCCTGAAGTATCGGCTTCTCCCCCAGTGCCTCGGGACCGGATCCGCGAGGCCCAATTTGTTGATGACAGCCCTCCCAGTTCGCCACCACTTCCTTTGGACGACACGAGGGACTCTTCGCCTCCAAATGGTCTACTTGACAGCCCTGTCATTACGTCAGTTCCCGAAAATGACAGCTCTATGTTTGACAAGACGCTTGTCGAAGGCTCATTTGTCTATGATTTCGATGACTCTATGTCAGTATCTGAACTAGCAGGGCCTACGTATCGACGAGACAGCACTGGGGACAAGCAGCTGCGTCAACAGATCAGCGATATTATTGAGTCAATACCAGCTAAGATCAAGTTGTCAGCCGAGACGCCTGCCGTCAACCTGAATCCCCCGGACTTACAGTTACCTCGGATTAAGAAGAAATCATCCAAGGAGATGTTCAAAAGGAGCACATCAGGCCTGTCGTCTCGCACTGCGACGCCCTCTTTCACCCTGTCGCCGGCAAGAAGTACACGACCGCGTCCTACCCGGGGCCAACAGGAGATAAAGGTCTATCATCTATCCCGATCGACCGGCGAACCACCCATCAAGCTCTTCATCCGATGTGTTGGCGAGCATGGTGAACGTGTCATGGTTCGAGTTGGCGGCGGGTGGGCCGACTTGAGTGAGTACTTGAAGGAGTACGCGAGTCACCATGGGCGTCGCTCGGCCGGAAAAGAAAAGGCTGCCAGGATCGAAGTTCAAGACGTCCCGCGCGGCTCTACACCATCTGCGATGGGGGCGGGATCGAGCCCACCAAACCGCCCAGCTTCGGCTGCTGCGGTTTCATCTGAGCATTCCCCCGTTACACCGCTCAATATTCGCAAAACGAGGAGAAGCATTGGTGCCGCTAACAGCGAGCTGCCGAGATTGCGACCCAAGACACCCGCCATAGCCACCCCGACCGCTGATACGCCGTCGTCAGAAGAATCAACTCGCTCCAGACCCGGGTCTCGTCTCAGCTGGTTTGAAGATGATAGCTCATTTCTTGGTCTTGCCGGGCCAACAGGCAAGAAGGTTGAAATGAGTGAAGAGAACAAAGCTTGGGTAGAGAGTGTCAAGGAGAAGGTTCGTCAAGTTAGTGGTGAGAGGAGGATTCCCCCACCAGATGAGAGGAATAGATTTGGTGACTTGGGTCGAGTTGGTGGCACGAAGAGGTTGTTTCGCAAGGCAGCTGAGAACGGCGCGCAGGGGAAGAGGTGAAGAAGGCATGAGACGATTATACCCCTACTTGTATTGGAAACATTAAGAATATTGTTATTGGACTATGGAGGGTTACTTTGACGAAGGCCGCATTTATGCCAGACCAAATGGTCGCCATGGCGGCCGCAGTTTTGCTCTATTCGGGTACACATTATAGATATACAGGCGGGGGGCGGCAGCAAGGAGTTTTTTTCCGTCATTGTGCTTTGAATCTGTGTTTGTTGTTTTGCCAAGCTTTCAGATGTGTGTTGCCTTGTCCATGATTACTACGCGCTCAAGGCCACGTGGCGAGACTAAATGATGATTGCCTTCGGTCTGTAATATATTTCGGTCTCTCATAACGTGACCTAAATTGTGTTCGGACCCATCGAACAAGAATGCCCAAATGCTATTTTTCAGAGAATACAAGGGTCCTATCAACCCCTGACAACGAATACATTGACCTCGCACATGATTATAGCGGCCTCGTTCCATGTCCGTTCCTAAAGCTCGCTCGACGAGCCACACTGCCCAGCCTGCCACATCTTGACGGACTTGACCGTCATGCCGCGGTCGGCGCCCTCGCCCCAGGTCGGCAGCCACTTGGCAGCAGCATCCCAAAAGGTCCACTGGGCGTTTTTGGCACCGTCGATCCAGGGCTTATCGCCAACGTGGTCCCTTACAAAAAAAAAAAAAAAATAACGAATAAGTTACATGGGGACTCAAGCTTGGAGACGGGGAGGGGGAGGACATACAGGAACCAGCCGTTCTTGGAGCCGACAGCCACGCTGAGAATCAAATAGAAGCTCTGGTCGAAGGGGGCGTTGCCCGTGGTGGAGTTGGACATGGCCCACGGGTTCGCCAGCAGTGTCTGGTTCTCGGCCATGCTGGCGAAGCGGCCGAGGTCGTAGAGCGGGCGGGCGCGGTCGAAGCCCATGAACATGATTTGGTGTGCGCGGCTGTCGATGTAGAAGTAGATGTAGTTGGGGGTCCACTGGACGCCGAACGTGTGGAAGCCGCGCGAGAAGTCGCCGCGGCGGAGCATCTTTGCGTTGGTGGTGCGCCAGTAGCTGTCCTTTTCGGCCGTGGGACCTTGTTGGATGGATTTTAGCTTGTGGGATTTTGTTTTGAAGAGTGGTGAGAATGGTGCTTACCCCAGTGGAGGGTGCCGTAGTAGTAGTTGCGGCCGCCTTCGGTGTAGGCGCGCGAGTTGCCTCTTGATTCCATGATGTCGATCTCGCCGCTGCGAGGCCATTCGCCGTAGGTGGAGGCTTCGGGCATCATCCCTTGGAGGCTTGTTAGATGGGAAGGCTTTTTTGGGGGTGAAGGGGGGTAAAGGGGGGGTGATTTTTCTTTACAGATGGCGGGCCAGATCCAGTCGCCCTTGGGGAGTTTGGCGACGACTTCTACTCTGCCGTACCGGATGCTCTTCTTGCCCTTTGTTGAGAGGCGGGCAGAGCGGATCGGGGGGATCATGGCGCCCTTCTTGGGGTCCGAGGTGGTGATGCAGGAGGTATTGGTGGTGCTGGTGCAGCTGCCGTCCTTGGTCAGGTCCAGGGTGTAGTTGGCGAAGAGGTCGTTGTTGGTGATGGGCGTGGACTCGTTGGTGAGGGTGGGAACAATGTGCAGGCCTTCGGCGTCGACGTACGAGTTCTTTGCGTCGGTGGTGGTCCAGTCGAAGCTGCCTGTGCCGAAGCCGTCGAGCTGCACCTCGTGCGACCAGATGTCCTTGTTGAAGGAGGTGAAGTGGTCTTCGTAGACGAGGCAGTACTGGGAATGCTTTTGTTACTGAGTGCTTTCGTGAGATGGACAGAGGGTGAATCACTTACAGGCCCGTCCTTGTATGGCCAGACTAGGAAGACGCACGCTACGCCGGCGAGGACGAGGCCGAGGAGGATGAAGCCCCTCACGATCCAGTTGTTCCATTTTGTCTTGTTCATGGCCGGATCTGCGAGCCATGGCTTCTCGAACTCGCCGTGCAGACGGTAGCTCTTGAATCTTCGCCTGGACGCAATGTCCAGCGACGAGAAGTCGCGGGGAATCGCGGAGGATGGACTGGCTGGGACGTCGAGTGCCGATGAGGTTGCTGCCAAGTCACCACTGCTGACAACCTTGACCGGCCTGTGGTGTGCCGAGGACGGGCGCTCGTCTGCTTGCGTTTCAGACATGTTGTCCACGTTGCTCATCTTGACGATGCTCGATATCCAGTGATGCAAGGCCTGCTGGCGAGAAGTGCGGTAGAGCCTAACAGCTCCAAGACAATATGTACCTCTCGGCTGCAAGAAGAGTTTCACCGACGATGAGGGCAGGTATTAGATGAGAGGTTCTGACTGTACCATCAGGACCAGGGAGAGCAATATCAAGCTGGGCCAAGAGAAGAAAAAAAGCAAAGGCCGCCATGGCAACTCCCAACTGCCCATTTTGACAATACTTGACAAAAAGTCTATTGCCGGCGTCGCACAGCAGGACATGGGATGAGGAGCAGCGCTTTCTCATGCAACTACATACCTATGTAGTTTTCTGGCCAAGCCCCTGCCGAGCGTTGGCTGCACTCGGCTCTCCCATTGGCACCGAGTCCCCTGCTCGGATCGATAGAAAGCAGGAGTGGCGTCATCCGCAGCAAGTTTACTTGAACGACGAGCGTACGCATCTGGCGCAAGAACGCTGGTATTTTGATTATCCGCGAAGAAATTTGGGGTGGGCCGGCCGCGCGATCCACCCAATTTCAACGTGCCATGTGGTGATGAGTCGAGGGGCAATTTCTGAGCATGGTGCTGTGAAGACGGATCCTCTCCGTGAGACCTTACAAACGGGAAGGCTGTCTGCGGCGGGCAGCGCGAGATGGCAGCCTGCAGGTTCGCGTATGCAGCGAGCGCAGCGTTGGGCTGACCATGCCGACTATGCGCATGCAGTGTTCCTCGGAGGATGACCAGGCATCTATTCCAACCGTGGTCGAGAAAGGCAACCAGCAACCTGTAGAGATACGACCCGGTTGGTCTATTCTTAGGAGCCCGCACGCTGTTATCTGTATGCAGTGGGTGAGCGGCAGAAGGGCGTTATCACCTGCGATCCATGCGAGGAAGCCCTGGCTTTGAAAGATGGAGGGACAGAACAATCGCCCTCCGTGACTGTTTGGAATGCCAGATTTTCGGGCTTCATGAGCGGTTTCGTTTAGACGGACATGCCGACGTCATCCTTTCTCAAACCCACTTTGTTGTAGTGTTATGACATTGATGATGCTACTCTAGATGACGGCTCAAGCAGGTTTCCCATGCGGCGTGCTGTATTGTCCGGTACAGATAGTTGTATGGGAGATTTTTGCAAAACCTTGGGCCGAATGCTACCAGGCTGATAGGCCACGACATACACCTTCCGAATACTGTCGGCCCTGGCAGTTGGGCAGGGGTGGCGATGCCGATATTTCTGGTACTGGCCTGCGTATCGTGGCGCCCCCCCGGTCTGGAGGCGCATGGACCGTAGACTAGCTTTGGGTAACAATTTACAGGATGGAAGAGATGGCGTAATATGTCATATCGATTCGATCTGAGTACCTCGTCTTGGAAGTTTGAACCGTCCAGTCTCTATAGACTTACACTGGCTCGCGGTTACTAGCATGGGAGACATATGGGTGATTGCAAAGAGGCTTTCTGACCATTTAAATGAAATATATGGGAGAACATAGGAGCCATCGCCTGAAGCCAAGACAAGCTCTGAAGGCTGAAATGCACGTAAGATGTCTTGGACGGAGCTGAGTAACCATGAGCCTGGCGATACAAAAACCAGCTGCAGTCAGTCTGTCAGATAGCGAAATGCTCGATAACAGAGGACATACCGATTTCCAGCAGCGTGCATTACTTTTTGCGTGGCTCTTTGGACCGTAGAGGTGTCCTAGGCCTTCGTGCAGCGCCAATTGGTCATAGATATGTCCATCTAGATTCTCTGCTGGCTGCCTACATCTCTGAACGCAATGTCATTGCACCAAAAGCGGAGGAAGCTCCGGTTGTAAAGGTCGTCATCTCTTATCATTGACACGGAACACCCGACACGCGTGTAGATCAGAAGTGCTCGGTGTTGGTCCCAGATTAAAAAAAAAATGAATTAGTGTTCAGTTTCATCCCCAAAAGCCATCTTGGTCTAAACTGCGGGTCGATATGCGCCCGAACCTTAAGCCCGCCTTGAAAAGCCGAGCCGCTGGGTTGACTGCCGTGGTGAATTGCGCCCCCTCCCATCGTGGGCAGCATCCAGCGGTGCGCACTGAGCAAGTCTGCAAGGAGAGGGAGAAATTCTGGGTCGAGGCAACTAGCTGAAGGGTATGCATTGAAAAGCAAAGTCCACGGGAACGAGCTTCGGGGGGTTGGGTTTGGATGGTAAACATTGTCGTTGGAGATGTAACCTCGATACGTTGCGTACCCCCGCCCTCAGCGGCAGCCAACAAATCCATCATCTTTTCCACTTTTGTGGTAGCCGAAAATTATCAGATGGTATCCTTGCGGGCAGAGTCGCCTTTTGGGGGAACAGCTCCGACGTGTTGTCAGCCGGGTTGAGCTCGCAGTTGAGCGGCGGCCGAGAGCTTTGCCAAACAACAAACGGTCGATGGCCTAGACCGCGGCGTCGAGAGCTGGAGAGCTTTCTTTTTTGATGAGCCGACGGAGGGGAGATTTGACCGCCGGTGAGAAACGGTCGAGGGCACGGGATTGTATTGCAGTCGCTAGTCAGCCGCGACCGTTTTGCCAGGGACTTTGTGCGAAGGGCTGAGTCGCAGATATTGATTGACTCGGCTTGGGGGCGGGCGACGGTTGTTGGAAATGCCCACGCCAGGGTACCAACATCTGCCCGCATCCCGCCAAGATTGCGCAAAAAGAGCACCATAGCTGTGGTTTATCGGGCGTGACATCCCGGCATGTGTTATCCAGGTGTCTGGCGGTTTCGTTGGTTCACACATCTGTTGCAGAGGCTATCCAGGGACTTGGTCATGGTGGACCGCTGCTGAATCGACCACGCCGCCGAGCCAAGAAGCCGCGGGTGCATATTTGGTTCGGCCAGAGGTGACTTGTCGAGACCACGTCTGTTCCTGGTCCATCAAGGCACAGTGCATGGTGGCGCTGGGGCTCGTGGAGGGTGTCCACTTCCCAGATGAAGCTGGTCGTGATGTTTCCAAGTTGGGATGCCCGCAGCCTGACCAGTCGGCATAGGTCAGCAACGTGATATTGCGACAAGATGCTGTCAGTTCAGTCTTTTTAAATGATTTTTTTTTCTCTTGATAAGAGGTGGACTCATACTTATGTTTTGTTTCGTGGAAACCTCAGCGGCTTTCTCTGCTTATTTATTGTGTTAATGCCGGCTGATGGACGCTGAAGACGGACACATCTGTAGCCAGATACGCATCCAGAACCATACTGAAGCGTCGAAGTCCAAAAATTGCCCCCTGGCAATGCGTGTTAATACGGATTCGGATTGAAACTTCCCAAAATATATTCCGGGAATCTCCTAGAGAGAGGCGTTCCCGAAGCAGACTGGAGTCTAGAGTCTCGCACTAGTTTCTGCCATTTTGCCGTGTCTTAGCTTCTCACCCTCACTGATTGCTGACAAAAAAAAGTTCATCAGACAAAATGGACGCATCTCCAAGTATATCGGTTCATGGTATCGACCTATCAATGCCGCGAAACCGTTCGTTTTGTACAATCTCTGCGAGCTCGATTGACTCTTCGCCGCAGAGATCTGGGCAAGACTCCCCTTACAACGCCAACTACACGATGACTTTCGTTTCAGAACAGTAAGGGGAAAAAATTTACTTTGACGAAAGAGAATAAACCCTCTGACATTCTGACAGATGGTGACGTACCTGCATAATAGAGCAGTAGCCAGTGGCTGGATCCCACCCGAGTCCGTCAGGTCTCAGGAAGACTGCTCTGGCGTGCTCTTGCGAAGATCTCGCGGCAACTACATCACTGCGTCGCAAAGACTGAACCCCATTCTTCTTGGTGCGGTCATCCGGCTGAATCTCAATGTGGCCATTACCATGCGCCCGCAGATGTTGCAGGGCATTCTCGCCTCGTTGATGCCGGGGCAGACCGATTTGAAGTTCAAGGACGGGTCTCAGATTCAAGTTCTCGACTCATTGGCCCTTGCACAGCCTGCGACGGTGAAGAAGTTCCAGTACGCCTCTGTCTTTAGACAAGAGCGCCTGATTCTCGTCTGGCACGATGATCTTGTCAACATCGTTCCTCAAGCCACCCACATAGAAGAAAAGCTGCTCGCCTGGGTACGAAATATTGTCAAGCCGCTGCAAAAGAAGAAAACATGACATGAAAAAGGGCTAACCGGTGTTCGCAGGTTTGGGGAGAAGGGAGGCTGCCCCTTAACATCTTACATATGCCGAGCCGCGCTCCGTCAACCTTGTACGACTCTGGTATGTCCAGCCCGATTGGAACGGCAACCCCGGCGGCTGGCATCACCACGCCGGGTCTCCTGACGCAGTTGAGCAGCAGCGAGGATGTCTCGGAGAAGAATGCCTCCATGGAGCGGCCGGAGTCTGTCGCGAGGCCAGTCGCCCGCGCATCGGCCGTCTTCATCGGCTGCGCCATGTGTCTGTCCCTGTGCCTCCTGTGCGGTGTATACGTCGGGAAGCTGGTGACAGAGTGTATCCTCGCCAACGACTGGATCAAGATGGCGCTTATTTTCCCCGTCCCCCTGCTCATGTGCGTCTCCTTGTTCTTCTTCCAAGTCATCTTCACCAACATCTTCCAGATGATTGGGCCCATTGGAGGCGTCAACACCAACTCGCGCCACTTTTCTGCACACAAGCCGTGCCTGAGACGGGCCTACGCCGACGGCTTTCTCCCACCCAAGGTCACTATCCAGATGCCAGTATACAAGGAGGGCATGGACTCGGTCATTATTCCGACCGTGCGCAGTCTGCAGGCGGCCATGTCGTATTACGAGTCGCACGGGGGGTCGGCCAACATCTTCATCAACGACGACGGTCTGCGGGCCGGGTTGACGGATGACGAGATTCGGCGCCGTAAGGACTTTTACACAGACAATAGGATCGGCTGGGTTGCTCGTCCTAGGCATAATGGGGACGAGGGCTTTGTGCGAAAGGGCAAGTTCAAAAAGGCGTCCAATATGAACTTTGCGCTTAATGTCTCGCAAAAGGTCGAGGCATACATGCAAGAACTTGCCGATGCTAGGTTGGCCAACAAGGAGACGGATCTCATTACGGATGCGGAGGAGGAAGAGATGTATCAGAGTGCCTTGGCGCGAGTCCTGGAAGAGAACCCGCTGGCTTGGGCGGACGGTGATATTCGCGTCGGAGAGCTGATTCTCATTGTAGACTCGGACACACGAGTGGTGGGTTGCCGTTTTCTTTCCTTCTTTCCTTTTCCCCCATGACGCGATGAACCGTTTTCTCTGACGTTGAATAGCCCGAGGACTGTCTTTTGTATGGTGCCGCTGAGATGTTCCTCTCCCCCGAGGCGGCTATTGTGCAACATTCCACTGGCGTCATGCAGGTTACGCATGATTACTTCGAGAATGGCATCACCTACTTTACCAACCTAATATACTCCTCCATCCGGTTCTCGATTGGATCCGGCGAGGTAGCCCCATTTGTCGGCCACAATGCCTTTCTCCGGTGGCAAGGTGAGAAGAAGTCCCCAACACATGTGATGGGATCGTGCTGACGGCCCTCTTCAGCTGTTCAAGAAGTCGGCGTGCCTGAAGAAGAGGGCTACATCCCGTACTGGTCCGAGAGCCACGTATCGGAAGACTTTGACATTGCGCTGCGCCTCCAGATGAAGGGCAACATCATCCGCGTGGCTGATTACCACGACAACGAATTCAAAGAAGGCGTGTCGCTGACCATCTATGATGAGATCGCCCGCTGGCAAAAGTACGCGTACGGCGTCAACGAGATTATATTCCACCCCGTCCACCGCTGGATCTACAAGGGCCCCTTCACGCCGCTCTTCTACACCTACATCAGGTCCAACATCATGGTGTCGTCCAAAATCTCCATCCTGGCATACATGTGCTCGTACTACGCGCTGGGGTCGGCCATGTTCCTCACCACGCTCAACTACTTCCTCGTCGGCTGGTTCCGCGACGACCTGGCCTCGAGCTACCTCACGTCATGGAACGTTCTGCTCTCCCTCATCGTCGTCTTCAACGCGTCGGGCCCTATTGCCCTGGCCATCGTGCGCTACCGCACGGGCGAGAAGGCACTGCTCGAGGCGCTCGTCGAGAACTTCAAGTGGATGCCCATGATGACCGTCTTCTTTGGCGGCATCTCGTTCCATATTTCCAACGCCATCCTCGCGCACCTGTTCCACGTCGACATGCAGTGGGGTGCCACGTCCAAGGAGAAGGAGGACAGCAACTTCTTCCAGGAGATGCCGCGCATCTTCAGGACCTTCAAGTACATGTACTTGATTATCGTGCTGCTCGTGGGCGCCATGGTGTACCTGGGAGCGTTTGCGCCACCGGACTGGGCGATTACCGACTTTTCCGTGATCGTGCCGCTCGCTATCAACCTGGGGTTCCATGCGTTGGTGCCGCTGGTGTTGAATCCCAGCCTCATGATTTTCAACTACTGAGCATAGTTGTTGTTGCTGGCTGCATGACTGTTTTTTCTCTCTTTGTTGTTGGTTTAGATTGGAAATATATTGTTTCGAACTGTGTGATAGACGGAGTTGGGTTACATTCGTTGAAGACATGGTGATGGCATAAACGGCATATGATGGGGATATAGAGGAATGTGCCATTGAGCATATAATAGACGATGAGCATCAGGTGTTTTTTTGTGTCCCGTCCCGTCAATGTGCCCTACCGCGTGCATGTGATGCTCTCTTTGTCATCGGATTTAACAAAAAGAATGCGTTGTTTCCACGTACCGTTGCCGCCATTGGGGCGAAGCAGACTCCGATCCATGACTTTCGCAGCGTAGCCAGCGATGGGTTACAATGGCCAATGTACGTACGCGCCTTGGCGTCGAGGCTGTGGTCATGTGGATCCGAGAACTCGAGTCCAACGCCTCGCATCGCCGGATCCAAGCCCATGCGATGTGAGAGGTGTCTGAGGAGCTGGTGAATGCGCATGTGCAACTTGACTATCATGATCTCTCACCAAGTGAAAATTGATGTTTGAGAGCCCAAGGAGCGCTCCTTCCTGAGCGCGAATTGTAGTGCCGAGTCCAGTGACGCAAATGGCTAGTGCTGTCAACTGGTGGTAGCCCCTTCCCTTCCCTCCATGTCTCTCCCAATTAGCTTTGCTTCCCCTCCTGCCCCCCCGCAAAATCCCCCCATCCAATCTCCGCCCTGCCGTCTTCCTGTCAACGGTTATTTCGGGACCTATTCCTCACCAGCCGCTGTTGGTGTCTTGCGCTTTGCTCATCATCTTCTTCAGACGAACCCAGACGCCAAAAACCATCACTGGCTGCCTCGTTGGAAGCGTTCAGAGAGCCCTCAGCAGCCACGCAACCCCGACCGGGACTCCGAGCTCTCGTATCTCTTATCCAAAAGGCTCGTCCATTGCCGCTACTGCACTGCACGTTCTGCGCTCTGAATGCCCTCCAAGCAGTAAAGGACCCATTGAGACTGTGAGTGATATTGAGCTGATAGTCCCAAAACAGTAGCAAGACGGGGATTGTAAGAAAAGGCGAAGAAACAAGGAAGAACGCACCACATGGCCAAGACATGGAACATGGCTGACCAGAAAAACCCCGCGACAGTTGAGTATACATCATCTGACATGACGCACTCGTAGGAACTTGAGCTTGTGGTATTTGTGGAAGAGAAGTCTCCCGTTCTTCTCTTTACTTATAACTCTCTTTTGCAGGTATGTCTCTGAGACCGCTTTAGCTCTTGCTTTCCATCCTTTGTTGTTTCATCTGTCCACCATGAGGTTTCAATTGCTCATACAAGCAGCTATCGTCAGTCTAGCAGTGGCTCTGGTACCGGACGACCGGAGATCACTTGCTCGAGGCGTCGTCTTTGACGAGGACGCTGCTTCCATCATCAGCGTAACGGACATTGCCGGAAAAGCTGCCAGCATGAACGAGAAGACTGGTCTTCACGAGGTGTCCCAGCCCAAGCGGGATACATCTGGCTCACTTGACCTGGATCCCACTCACATTGCCTTTACTCAGTCGTTCAGCTATGCCACCAAATTTGCCAATGAAAAAAACTGGATCGGCATTTACCCTTCTGGCAGTACTGGTCCTGACAACGAGACCTACACAGAAGACTCTCTATCGTGGGAATATGCTCCGGGTGAAAAGGGAACGGTGCAGCTATCAACTGCCAATCTCCCTCCAGGCCAGTACAAGGCCTACTTTCTTGCCAATGAGGGTTACAAATGGCTGGCCAAGCCTGTGGTATTCAAGGTCGCGAATCCCTGGGGCTCCATCTCAGTTCGTGACGGTGACCCTCTTCTTACCTTTAACTATTCGACTCCGCATCCAGATCCCCAGAACTGGATTGGAATTTACAACTCCTTTGGCGGTGGCCCAGAGTCGCAAAAGTTCATCAGCGGTTCCTTGACTTGGGCTTATGCCCCTGATGAGAATGGGACTGTCAAGGTCGATGCCTCTGCTTTGCAGCCGGGTCTGGGATATCGAGCCTTCTTCCTTGCTAAAGGCGGATACAAGTGGCTTGCAAGCCCCATTGACATCGTCAAACCCGGAAAGGGTCCGTTAGCCTTTATCGTTGACCGACTAACTACACACAATGCTCGGGTGGGTGAGCCTTTCACGGCTAACCTCAGCGGCATGCTGGAGAATCCGCGCGATCCAGACAGCAAGTTCGCCCAGGGCAAGTATAACGCTACGGATTCAAGCACACATGGCTGGGTCAACATATCTAGCGACGGAATTATCAGTGGTACACCACCCAAGACATCTGGAAACACGACGACCAAATTCGTCGTCGCGGCTTTGGGGTCAGATGGATCTACTGCTGAAATCACAGTTACAATTCCGGTCGTCGCACAAGGGGAGCCTTTGGTTAAGGAACTCACCATCCTGTCGTTCAACCTGTGGTTCGGAGGTACACCCGTGAAGGACTACCATGCCAAGCAAGTTCGCTTCATCACAAACGCCAGAGCAGACATTGTTGGGCTCCAGGAGAGCACCGGAGGACATGCGATTCGGCTCGCAAAAGCCCTGGGCTGGGACTATTGGCAGGGAGATGACGTCGGTATCATTTCTCGATACCCCATGGTCGAACAGTATGCTCCTGTCGAGAGATGTGGCGCGGTGCGCATAGCCTTGGACAGGGGCCAGGAAATCAACTTTTGGAATTGTCATTTGGGCTACACGCCATATGGTCCGTACGACTTTTGCTTCGACCACCTGTCCCCGGAGGAGGTTCATAAGAACGAGATCAAGTCTCGTCGTACGCCTCAGATCATTAATATCATGAAGCACATGCAGGACCATCTCTCACAATCCAGCAAAACCCCTGTTATCTTCACCGGTGACTTCAACGCGCCCTCACACCTTGACTGGACGAATGCAACCAAGAAGCTTCACTGTGGACAGGGATATTTCCCCTGGCCCACCTCGAAGCATCCCGTTGATGCAGGCCTGATTGATTCCTTCCGAGAAGTCCACAGTGACCCCTTGACTAAACCTGGCATCACTTGGTCGCCCATTTACCTGGACAACGAAGGGCGGGTCGAACCCAAAGATCGCATCGACTTCATCTATCACAAGGGCCTCAAGACTCGTTCGTCGGAAGCTGTTGTGGTTGGCCAGCCCACAGCACAGCCAGACCACTACTACAACGAATGGCCATCGGACCACGCCGCCGTAAAGACCGTCTTTAAAGTCGAGAATAATAGCTCTGCTGGACGGGGCAACTCCCGCGTCCTCTGGGGCGTGGTCGGCGCCATAATTGCCGCGACAGCTGCGTGTGCTTCATGGATTGTAGGCGCTTGTATCGGCAAGCGCAAGTCGAATAAGAATTTCGATGAGAAGGGCTGGAGAGACAGCGATTCGGGCGATTCATCTGCATAGGAATGTCGAAAGGACTCGTATCTACGTCGTATTGATGGGCACTATATTGCAGCCTTGGGGTTGTGCACATGGTATAATGAATGTTGTTCGGTGAATAGACGGTTGGTGTGCCAATGGTTCAGTGAGGGCCTGAAGTAATAAGTCAACTCATCTCTTCACAGTCTTCCAGTACGAAAGGTCCTTAGTTTTTCTCAAGGCCTATATAACTGATTTATACAAGAAGCCGATGAGAGCCTCATACCCCAGGTCTCATGATCTAGCCCTCGTGCAACTGTGTAATAGTTAGAGTGTAGTAAAAGGTGTGCTAGGATTTCATATACTATAGTGGTTTTCTTTTTTAAGATAATTTAGTAAACGCAAATAGTTGGCTGACATTTCCGCATGAGTCTGCTTCTCGCCTATGTAAAACAGGTTATTGCCAAGCTAACCCCTCTCTCTGCCACTCTGATCTCCTCGGATAAGGATACCGTTGGAGGTTTGTGGATGAAAGGGAAGCTAAATCATGAATAAAGTCCCTTTGGGGAGTAAGAAGACGGTGCCTTCCTTGAACGCCACGCTTGGACATGCTGACTAGGGGATAGAAGCCACAAAAAGGAAAAACGAAAACTGGACGCCTACAAGACGCGGAATAAGTCAACCCGTTCGGACGGGGTCGTCTTCTGCCTCGAGAAAACGCGCAGGTCCATCCTCACAGCGGCAAATCGCGCCACCGAGTCTGACTGCCCTCCTTCCAAGTCCGACGACGAACCGGTTGCTCAGACCGGAAATCTATTGAGCACTAGAGCTGATGTAGTATTTGATTGACGAATTTGTGTTCAGCGTATTCGGACGCTCCGTGGATGGGCTGAGCTGGCAGAGGATAGCTGTCACAAGGTTGAGGCCACAACAAAGGCGTTGGCCGTCAACGCTCACACAACAATAAAGAAGGTATCGCAAAGCCCTGAGGCCGGGCTACAAGCGAGGGCTGCCTCAGGCCTCGAGCACACACCGACTTCTATAGGAACCTCTGGTCCTTCAGAGCCTCTTGAAAAACCAGGACCTCCTCGAAGTCGCTTATTAAAGATTGAATTGAACCCATTGTCCCAAGCCCCGTTATCCTGCCCTTGTCACAGCAACTCGTGGCGCCTGGGGTCACGTCCAGGCAGAAACAGGCCCTGGATATCCGATAGTGGACGGCGGATATAGACCGGACGTGGTAGCTTTGACTCAAGTGAAGCAAGCGTCTTGTATATATTGAGACACCTTTACATTGAGTCTTGGCAAGCTTTTGATGACAGGATGGAGAAACCACAGAATGAATCGTGTCACCTCACCTACTCTCAACGGAATAGACGCTCGGGAAGTGACCGCAGCCCCGACACACTGGCAGTTCCAACAGATATTAAAGGGCTACGGACAAGGGTGATTTGAGTTTTCAATCAACTGTGGAAAAAGGCTTCAATCACCTAGACAGAGAGCTTCCATCAAGGACTAATCTACTGTTCAATGCGGGCCATTGCTGCTGCCATTAGCCTCATCTCCCGGTATATACTAGGATCTGACAACTACACCTCGTTCATCAATAAAGACCTTGGTGTCTAGTTCCAGATTGTCTTGGAAACAATCACACTAATCCAAATGGAAAGTCCGATCCGGGTCAGTAGGGAAACCGGAAACTCGAATCTAAATCGGCTCGAACTAGCTGGATTTGTGGCCGCCTTTATGATTTCCAGGCAACATCCGGAATGCGTGCTGATTTCAGAACAACGCACCAAGTTTGTTTTTCCCCGATAGTGCAAGAGTCCATCACTCATCATTCTTAAAGGGGCCAGACTCGACGTAAGCCAAGCCGGTTTGACTCAGAGGAAATCCCAATGCGGCATTTTATGCGATGCATCAAAGCACAGGACGAGCGAGAAGACCTTGATGCTGGTCGAGATGCGTGGAGGCAGTCTCAGTGTTGCATCATGCCAAATGGGCGAATTGATGTACGAGTTTCATATAAAGTAGCTGGTCCACTTACTCGCTGAACATATATTCTGCCGATAAATGGCCATGCATGAATTGCAGAGGGAAGCGCATGACTAGCCTCAGGACGGAGATGGATAAAGGTCGCTTTTGATCATTTGGTCAGAAGCGCCTCGATGCTTGCATCCAGCAGGACTCACAGCATGCAATATATTCCTGTCGGACTGGGTGTTGATAGCAGGGTGACTACTTAGGTTGGTGTAAGTGACTATGTTCTCGTGCAGCTCTAAACCTCCTACCTAGCACGCGGCTTAGAGTGCCCATTTTACACATAGTTTCTCTCTCGTCGAAAATACCGTGTATTCAGCTCGCAGTGGGTTCGCCATGGTTTCAGCATCAGGTCCGTGCATTGATCTCCTTTGCCCGATTTTATATCGCGATGAGTTGAGACCATTCCCCCGAGTCAACCAGATGACTCGGCATTACAACCAGACTCTACATGTAAGCTTAAAAATGGGGGCATGACAACGACAGGTCCTGAAACCGCCCGGCGCCACTTCAATCTTTCATATACAGAGTCATTCAGTGGCTGCTGAAACGGGACGTGAGGCTGTTGCGCCTTGCCATGAATCGTGACATTTGCTTGGCAGTGTCGGGTTGCCGTCGCCGACTACAAAATGATGTGCCGCCGCCGCTTACCTCTGCCGTCAACCCCAGTCCTCAACCCTCACATTCATTCATCACTAGGATTTCCTTTTCAGCTACCAAACAATGAAGCAGCACATTCTTCTCCTTGCCTCTTTGGCCGCACTCGCTGTAGCGGCACCCGCACCCCTCGAGGCCGAGAAGGAAGACCTTGCCGCCTGTGGCAAAGGCATGGGTCTCGTCGAAGGCGTGGGAGTCTGCAGGCCGGTTAGAAAAGAGAATGGGAACGCCCAAGAGCCCGACACTTGCTCAGACGATGAGACGCCCACCACGACGATTCTCCCTGGTGACATCCCGACTGGGCCTCTACCTCCAGCCGGCGAGCCGTTGCCTCCCCGGCCTGAGGTGAGCTGCAATGGAGGTACTGTGTTGGATGGAGATTGTGTCTGCCCTACTGGCACCACTCGTATCCAGGGGGGTTGCTCCAAGAACACGGATACCGTGGCAGACGACAAGTGTTAGTATCGGCCGAGTGCGAGACCTCTAGACATGTCGCCGCTAGCTGTACTTTATCTAGTAATACATGTCAGTTTTAACCACAAAGCATGAGGACCGATTCCACATCTTTCGTGAGTCAAGTTTTTGGAGAGGGCGGGAGGAGGTGTGCTATAGCGAGTTGGTTGGTTATGAGGACATGACTACTTAGACATCGGGCAGATACCTATCACTGTAGCAAACCAGACCAGATAATGTCCAGAATGCCAAGTCAGCTGACTAGCGGCGTCGCAGCAGCCGTCTAGTGGAAGCGACAGAGCCGAGCGGACAACGGGCAAAACCAACCTGGACAACTGCCTCCATGACATCTGTGTTTGGACCAATTTGCACACTGCTCCTAGGACCGGCATACAGAAGGAACAAGCTTTAGATTGATCACCTCCGGTTCTATATGTGCGACAGCTGGAGTGGTGGCGCGACCAGTAGTTAGGACCATATCTCGATTCACGCTGAAACAAGTGACTTGTTTCCTACATCCAAGGTTCGACCACAAAATAGAGGGTGTCAATTGCTGCATCTTTCGTGGACTGAGCCACGCTTGGCAATTTGATCGTGCTCTCTGTCGTAATTTTCTGTCACACGGTTAAGCCACATCAAAGGCGTCGGGCCAACAACGGCTAAGAAGAACAAAGAAAGTATCACGAAGCCCGTGGTCGAACCATAAGCAAGAGCTGCCTCAGACCTCTAGCACACACCGATTTCTTGTATATAGAGGCCTCTGTTCCCTCAAGACCTTTTAGAAAAATAAGGACCTTTACTACCCCAAGTTGATTATTAAAGATTATGAATATCTTATATTCCAAACCCAGTTATCCTGCCCTTGTCACATTTTCCGCTTTGTTATCGTTGATCAAGTAGTACTCTTGCCCTTACTGGTACGCAAAATGACTTGAATGCCTTCTTGTCCCGGACCTGAGTATAAGGGAATCTGATTGCTTCGCAATTAGAGCGGCTGTAAATGACAGCTATATACTCATGGCCTGATGTTACACGGTCAAAGCTCGACATCCTCACCGCCCAACAAAGGGGCATCGCCGATACAGGACCCAGAGCTTACACAGACTGCACGCATGACCCGCTGGGAGCCTTAGGCACAGCTGTTCTTTTCATGTATGGTCTCTCGTCCCTTACTTTCCTTTAGAAACCAAGGACCTTTGGCACCCTACAGGATTATTATTGAATAGAGTCATTCCGCTCCAAGCCCTTGTCACACCTGATGTAGAGAATCATCAAACTTGCCGAGATAGGATCGCCAGACACAGAGACAGTACCCCAGCCGGCTTACAGAAGCATCGGCCGACTGAATACTGTATCCCTTTGAGTGCGGTAAGGTGCAGCTTTTGTATCTGCCCAGAACACCCTTGTTGAGTAATTCTACCTGTATCTTAGCCAAATACGGAGTATGCTGCTAATCAATGTACCAAGTACTATTAATAGTACTCTTATTATAATAAAAAATAAATGAGCAGGCATGTACTTGCTTATTTTTTAATCCCCATTGGATATTGTCCCCGTAGAAGACTTTACCTGCACCTCACCGCACTCAGAGGGATCTAATAGTCACATTGCCATGCCATCACTAACTTGCAGATGAGACGGACGCCTGGGGATCTTGGTTTCCGAGGCAGGCATTCTCCCCGGCTCTCCCCTACTGATGGCCGCTTGGCAGTGTTCTCTCTGTCTGGGAATCATGGAACCATATCACGTTGACAGCTATGGAAGCAGATTGAAGCGTGGAATTGTCCTTGGGATTAAAGCTATCTAGGTATGGAAAACAGGCCCTATTTATAGATATTAAGGTCGTCTAGCAGGTCACCTAAAAAGTTATTAATTTAAGGGATTTTACGGTATTTAGCTATTAAAGGTTTAGCTTTAATAGGGTGGTAGCGCGAGCCTTTTTTTGGAGGCTTTTTCGTACAATTAAAAGGCAGCTATTTGAGGCTTTCTAGGGCTTCGGGGTCCCCGATGAATAGCAGCCTTTTTCCATTGAAAGGGGCCTTTGGCGTTGACAAACCAAGTTCAACCAGCGGCCTAATTGTGTATAGCCGCGATGTATATCTTCTTCGCGTCTCGGGCGGCGACATTCTTATATTTCCATGTAGCGTAAGCTCTTTTCAAGGCCCGGATAACACCATCTGTTGCAGAAATGATTGCCGTGTCTCGCCGTGTCTTTTTGGTTGAACTCATCCGAGTGGAACTCTGCATAGTGCAAGGCAATATTGTCTGTTCCGGGTCCTGGGTTCCAGTCCGGATCTCCGGACACGATATCACCCACGCCATTGAGCTTTGCACGTGAGACGTCCTCCCAACTTCTGAAGAACCACCTCATCGGTTTCGACATCGTTGGCGACACAATAGGGTTGGGAGTGTTGGATTTGGAGTCGAACAGTTGAGTGAAGGCCAGCGTTAGCTCTTGCATACACTTTGTGTTTTTGGCCAAAGCCTCGAGGTGGTGGCGCACAGCATCCGCGGAAAACGGATAAAATTCTTGCACCATGATGACTTGACTGATTGTTGGACGTGCTAGAGCATCGAGATGTAGATTGCACAGTCGCAAGGTGAGCAGACCTCTAAGTAATGTCATCTATTGTTTCATAAAGCTTGTCGACCACAGCTGGGGACAGGGACCCGATTTCCACATGGATGTGTGAACCAAATAGACCGTTTGCAGCTCAATCACCGAACTAGATGACGCTACAGTGGTGATTGGCTTCAAAGCGGGAACAAGCCTAGATACTGACTGAGTAGCCTCTGTTCCAAGATCCATGAGCTACTCGCACCTCACTTTAAAGGCCATCCTTTTACATACAATCACTACCTAACGGATACCGTGGCAGAAGTCACAAGCAGACAGGCGTGAGCGGAACCTACATAGCGTCTTCACGGCCCAGGCGAGTCGCTCGTATGATGATGGACGAGGTTACACCATTGACTCTCTTCAACTCTTCAACGCCATCAGGAAACAGAAGGAGAGTAACGTGCAACATTATGCAAGTGAGTTAGTCCTGGACTGCATGCAGGCATACTACGAGGTCAATCCATCTTTGAAGAGTTCCCGCATTGTCACAAGGCATGGGCCTGTGTGAAAATTGCTCTCCTTTGCTCGCAAGGGTCGCATTATCAATGATGTTCAGGTTGCTCTCAAGAACTCCGTGGACGATGTCGTACCCCTCGCGGTTGAGCACTGCCTGGTTAGCAAACCGACTGCTCATTCCAATTCGGAAATATCCATGTTTGAGCTCACAGATGATGAAGTTGATACGTTCGCGGCGCAAGGTGAAGGAGCAAGTGCATAGAGAAGCTTGCTATCCTAGAAGCTTGTACCAGTGACCTGACACGGCTCGGAGCGCGACAAAGTGTTGAGTCAGGAAAAACTAAAACACATCCACCTTGACTCTACCTCCACCAGCAAATAGGATATTAATGTCACAATATAGATCCCCTTGCCTTCCGCGACGATGGCGATGATTCAGACGCAACAGCGTCTGCCGAAGAGGAGCTGAATGGGCGGCTTTCTGACCGCCATAGCATAGATAGCTTTGAAATATTAAGAGACTAGGATGATCAAAAACGGTTCAAGGAGACTGAATCACCGTATAGTGAATGATTGAGCGACCTGATCTTGACAGCTGACGTCGCACTCCCCCTTCGTGCTTTCATGTATTCCTTCTTCTGGAACCGGGACCGACCCTGACTTGACTTCCCCAGTCTTCATGCTTGTAATATCTCTGTAGTTACCTAGCACTTGTTAAGTCTTGGCACATTTTAATTAAACCTGTTTAGATTCGCTTCCCCGGTATATTTGCCCAAATATAAAGAGAATTTAATTGATTAATTATAGCTCTATAAGCCAAGCCGCGTGTCACTCTCCACCTCCCGCCTGATTTCTTTTGGAGCCTATTACTTCAGCGGTGGCTTTAATTAGAGGTAAGAACTTAATTTTATTCTATGTAATTTATATTACATATCCTTTATAAGCTTAATTAGTCTTATAAAGTTGGTTTAATGCTTTCACACGTTAACGTGCGATTTTAAGAGACTTTAAAGACTTATACAAAGGTAACTAGTTATAGTCCCAGTTAATCCCTGGCAGGCGCTAGAGCTCGTTATTAAAAGTCATCCATACCTCGTACTCCTATGGCGGCATCTGACTTCTAGCGATTATCTCCGGATTCCTGCGCTAATTTAAGCTCCTAATCGTAGTTTGAGTAATGCTCTTCCCTACGTGAACCGCATTTAATATCGCTGTTAATTTAAAAATGACTTCGTCCACGCCATCTTATCGTGGGGTGAAAAAAGCAAGTTGATCTGTCCAGGTCTCGACTGTGGAGCCTATTGTGTCGTCCATGACTGAACTTGGTCGTGGGCTTCGCCTTCGTTGATTTGCGTTGGACGCTTCTCTGGTAGAGCGTGCTGAATCGCAACATGGGGAGCGACATGTAGTTGCATGCGCTTCCATCCATCAGAGGGTACTTCAAAGGAGGTTTGGTCGGACTCGTTGCTCCGCGCTTGGCTAAAAGCATCATGAATGGCTCCTGATGACGTGGCTGTGGAGGGCCTCGTACATCAGTTCTATACTCCGGGGGGCCTAAGTAAGCACTTCCGTCGCAGCCATCTAAGCAATATTACCACTCGAACATAAGCAGCACTTGCTGACCCATGCTCAAATAGTTCATGGGATTCATCTGCGTCATCAGCAGCATGTTGAAACCGACGTAGTTGTATTTTGACTCGGTTGCACTTTCTCTTATTTAATTCATTTAAATGAGTTAAATAGTTCAATCATCTCAATGTAGAAATTGCTTTATCAGGTTATCCTTCTAGGCCCTTATTAAGACCCCGGCTCCAGATGATGTGGCTGTAGAGGATCGTCTCCGAGTGGCTAAGCTAAGTTGTCAAGAAATTCGTTCCACCAACCACAAAATGTCGAAGATAGAAAGACTTCAAGTCTTCTCAGCATAGATATCGTACGGCATGCCATGGCGACGTTTGACGTGTCACTTTGTAGCGCGGTCACATGAATGATCTGGCCACATCGTTAGTTCAGGTAGACACTTGAATGGGCCGGCAGATCCTACTATTTTCGAATAGTCGGCGCTGTCGATACGCGCAAACATGAGCGTCCAGCGAGCGCCATTGACATAAGAAAGCGGGAAAATCATTTGTTTGAGCACTGCCTGCGCCGTTGGTGAATTTTTGGCCATTGATTTAAGTCGTTCGATTTGGGCCAAAATGCAAGTACCCAATTGGTCTCTAGCTTCTGCTTCGGTGCGACTGATAGTTTTAGTTTCAATTAAAAAGGGAGCAATCTTCCCGTTTAGACCTGGCCGGTTGAAAGAATTGACAGATGGATCCCAAAGACGACGGGTGTCCGCGAGCCTGACTTGGGTGGCATCATCACCCCGCACATAGCAGCAAAAATCGAACATTCGAGAGCTCCTTAGGCCAGATGGGTGCTTTGGAAGCCACTGGGAGTCGATCCTATCCGAGATTCTGTCGAAATGGTTAGAAGTTGTATAGTAACAATCAGGGGGTCCTTACGTGGATCGGAACCCCACCGCTCCATGCTTCTTGTCGAACACATGTGCCAGAAGCTTGCCGTGAACTGCATTATTCCATTCACCTTCAGGCTCAAGCTCGTCATTGCACCGTATAGAATGCTCAACAATGCCTTGGATGGTAGCAAAGTCTTGGCATATATCGCCTGCATATGTAAAATAAGACTCGTGCGGTTTCCGTCCCAACTCATTTCGAAATTCGGGACTGTCATCCCACAGCGATTTTGGGATTGTTCCAAGCCCAGAAGCAAGGTCACTCAAATCATAGAACAATGTTTGCCCTTCTGGCCCTAGCGCCTCCGCCTTCGACAGACTGCGAAAGCGTACTCCAAGGCTTTCCAGGTCTATCACTCGTTTAACAGGGCTTTTCGAGCGTCTTGAAGACGTTGCAGATGAAGTCGAAACCGTCTCCTCATCAGGATCGACAAAAATGTCGTCTTCGATGCGACTAGCGGTAGATAGGGCAGGAGACAGCTGGTGGTTCGAATGAGACGTCCCAGTGAACGGATCACTCAGCCATCCAGATGCAGGCACCTCTTCGGACCAGGCTGCGACGATTTCGGGTCTGCAGTGCATTGTTGATTGAATAAGATGTAGTTGGCCATTGAGATTGATGAAGATTATACCAGTGTTGTCCGCCTGTTAACCCACGCTGATATCGGCGGGGGTCGTTGCTGCGACAACCACGCGACGGGAGTATGCTCCCCACCTTGGCCTTGCTTGGGCAAAGAGGATGCAGCGCTTGTCGGGCAGCGGAAGGAGACCGTAGGGGAAAAAAAAACCTGCAAGAATTAAGTGGCTCGTCCACTTAGTCGCTGACGGGTAGTTTTTCGATAAGACGGCAGAAGCACGCGCGTACATGCGGCACAGTTCCAACACCGAACCCGTCCAACGCATCGGTGAAGGAGCGTGTGTGTACTCCAGCCCAGTATTCACGACCCGTGAGAAGAGAGCCCCCGCCAGACTTATGTCAGCACACTCACAAACACTTACCCTACGTTAAAATGGAGCTGCAAAGTTAGGGTTCACAAGATGGTTTGCTGCTCGCGCCTGCCAGACATAATCCAAATGGAGGCAATACCCATCAAGCTCGACCAAGAGTGTACGTCGGTATTACGGCCAGCATTGATTATGAGGAAACCATCCATTTCAGGCCAGACCTGCCTGGAGAAAGCGCAAGAACTTGACATGGGTTCGCCCACACCCGGATCCTCCGTGCATACATTACTCCCTAAGCGCTGGAGTAGTCTGCGTATTGCAAACAATGGAATGGCACAAGCTGGGCAGTCAAAAGTGTAATAGCCTGGCGCAAAATGTTCAAATGTGCGGAGAATATAGTACGGCTGGGACGGCCACGTTCACCTATTATTCGGCGCATCAATAACTAACTCGATCAGCCGCTTTGGTCTTCAACAAAGTGTTTGGTAACTTATCATTCTGGAGCCAAACAACCCGGACCCGTATAGCTACTTCAGAATTTCATGGGGGCTGCTCATGGGCTTACCATGACGATTCTCGAGCGCCTAGCCGAGGCAATGCATTTTCCGGCTCGTAAGAACACGTTGCTTGCAGCCCATGATAAGACGAAGCCCAATACAAACACCATGTCCATGTTCCGATATCCACGCCAGTCATACGCAGAGGTAGCCAACTTCCAAGGGCATTGCCCACAACAAGCACACCGACCTGGGCATCTGGACGTTTCTCCTATGTCGTCAGCCAGGGCTGCGGGTGCTTTCACCACAGCTGAACAAATGTGTATATGTCGTGCCAAAGCCGGCACGGACACGCCATTGTCCATGCCGGAGACTCACTGCGCTATCTGTCCCCTAATAAGCTCCTGTCGGCTGTGCACCGTGTTCTGCCGCACGGAGGGCGACAAGTAAGTCATCGTCACTCGATTGCCTTCTTCCTGCGCCCTGCAGACGAGACAGTCTACAGTGACGTGTGCGGGCGTAGCATCTCCGCCAGAGCTTGGCACGATGAAAAGTTTGATCATTTCCGGGCGTCGCACTAGAGCAGGCTCAGAATGTGATTCTTACTGGCGGCATGGAGAGGGTAGAAAGCCACATGTTGGCAAAAGGTACGACGACCTAGCATGTCCCAACGCCGTACAGCAGCAAGGTTAATTGACTTGTGGATAATTCAGTACATCGCTAAGGATGCTGTAGAGGAACAAAACTATGTTATGGGCCTTGGGATGATGGGTCGCACTTGGGACCAATTCTCACAGCCTAGACCGAAGTCCGACTTTGGCCAAGTAAATAGGGGCAAAGAAGATAGTCCATCTTGGCTGAGAACGTCCCCAAGAACCTTGAAGAGAGCCCGTGCTTGCGACTGGCCATTTCTATTACCAAGTTTGACAATGGCAATTTCCATCGTCTCATGAAGCGGCCAAATATGCTTTCCTTATTGCCCAAGCTCTTTATATTTGGCTGCAGGTGCACGTAACGTATCTTGACTGCGGATCGGTACCCTTCTTTTCTTCAACAATCCGGCAAAGAAGTCGGACAGGGGACTAGAGTTTATTGTATTTATTAGTGCAGATCAGCATGAATAGACTGAAGGCGAAGCCTCACGATTGCAAGCGAACTGCGATTCCAAGAGGATCTTGAACACCAGGCCTTTCGGTGCGAACAGCGAGACACGCGTTAGTCAACTACTAACATTGAAAATAGCTTCCTGCTGGAAAGAATGCCGTAAGTTGCCTAGTCGCGGCGGTGCATCCAGAGTCACCAGCGTCTGCAAACAAGAGAACCAAGGACGTCGAAACTCCATAAATTGTCTTTTTGTCTCTACAACCAATGTACTCCAGGGAAAGGGGCAGGTTAGACCGCCTTTCTGCCTGCTACTAATTCCCTATCCCCCCTGCGCCTGGCTGGCTTCTGGTCCATCTGCACAGCAAAATTCCAAAGCCCGGAAATGGGATGATCCAAAGCTATCAAGGGCATGGAATTGAAGGGCCAGGCGGACTGCAGTCGTCGGGGTTCTTGCCCGGGAAATAACATCCTATCATCATTAGCCAGTCGGCACAGCATATGTTGGGAGAAGGCGAAAAAGAGCTTGCGTCACCAAGCTTGAAGTTGGGCTGGTATTATTTGGGACTTGGAAAATTACTCACCCCCGTCAGAGCAATAACAGTAATTACCAACGAGACCGTCCGGATCCGCTCTACAAATGCCCGATGCTGTTAGAAGGGTAAAGACGGAAGCGTAGGTAATGTGTAGTAGGATGGGGATTCCTTCAAAGCAGACAAGCAATCCTGTTCCCAAGATTACGTGCTACGACCTTGCAAATATTGTCAGAAAATATTTGATGTGTTTGATACGTACTGGTTTCGCAAGGCGGGTATAAGAGACAACCAGACCCAAGAGTGCGAAAACAGCCACGATTCTGAAGGGAGACTGCATCTTCGACTGCGCGGAAGCTGGTAGGTGATGAGTTTCAGCAGATAGGAGGCTGAAGGCGTCAAACTAGGTTCCTTGGACTGCCCGAAATATTAGTGAACAAACGCCGGTAGATCCAAGGGGACAGGCGCACGTGTATAAGCAATAGAAGGCGTGTTCAAATGGTGCTTGAGGGCATGATGGCAAGTGAGCCATGTCTATCAAGGTTGCTGCATTCGCGGATGAGCGGCACGGATAGAGTACGACGAGGCTCAGAACTTTGGAACTTTGGCATTTGGGAATCTGCAGTCAGCGTATCACAGAGAGTCAGCTTGTTACAAAGAGTCAGCGTATTATAAAACCTATAACGCTAGCCAGTAAGGCATTATACAGCCTCGATCAGCACGAAAGAGCAACGTATACTGGCATGCTCCAATGAGTAGTAGTCAATAACACTTCGGGGCTAACTCTGTGATCCCCCCACCTGGAAGACATGTTGCATGATGCTCCAGTCCTGATTCCATATGTAGTTATTCCCATGTCTTGTAGCGGAGCCTACACCTGGGGTGTGCACATTTCGATCACTGGCCAGTAATAGCACCGAGTCGAATATCTCCGACCACTACCTACGTAAGATGTCAGACAAGGAGTGATACTGTATTACATGGCAGAGTTCAAAACCGTATTAGTGTTGTTTTCTCTCGGACCCTTCAAGGGGAAATATCTCACGTCTCAGTTGGGAAGCGTCTAGGGGTAGCACTAAAAGCACCGCATGAGAGCTGCTTGATCTCCGTCTTGTCTATGCATTAGATAGAGGAAAATACTGTCAGAGTCTCTTTCAAAACCCAAGCTCAATGCACTTCAGCCTCCTAGCCCTAGTATCAGTTGCGCATCTCGCCCAGCTTGCCGCGGCCGGTCTTGTACGGCGGGAGACTCATTCTGGGGTAGGTGGCAAGGTGTCAACGCCAAAGGCCCCTTTCAATGGAAAAAGGCTGCTATTCATTGGGGACCCCGAAAAGCCCTAGAAAGCCTCAAATAGCTGCCTTCCGATTGTACGAAAAAGCCTCCAAAAAAGGCTCGCGCCACCACCCTATTGAAGCCGAACCTTCAATAGCTGGATACTGTAAAATCCCTCAAATTAATGACTTTCTAGGTGACCTGCTAGACGACCTTAATATCTATAAATAAGGGCCTGTTTTCCGTACCTAGGTAGCTTCAATCCCAAGGACAATTCCACGCTTCAATCTGCTTCCATAGCTGTCAACGTGATAGTTATGAGCCCGGGTTTGCCACAACTTCCCGGAATCTTTACACATCAAATTGCTACATAACCTAGGTCTTCGTCAAAGGCCTCAACCAACCTAGCTATGGAAGCAGATTGAAGCGTGGAATTGTCCTTTGATACAGCTCTTGTGGCCGGGTTACAATTATAGCCCTTTTCTAGAAAGCGGTCCAATGAGGCTACATTTGTATGGAAGGTCGGAATAAAGGCTACATGTTCTAGCTGGAAGAGCCCTGTCTGTATCCGTAGAGAGACCTTCCAGACGAGGCCTTCGCAGGCGATACGAAGCTCCAAATCGAAGGCTACGGAAAGGTCTCTCTACGGATACAGACAGGGCGC